AAGGAGACTCCACAGCCTCCCTGGGCAGCCTGGGCCAGGGCTCCGTCACCCTCAGAGGGAAGAAGTTCTTCCTCGGGTTCAGCTGGAGCTTCCTCTGCTTCAGTTTGTGCCCGTTGCCCCTTGTAATGCCCTTGTGATGCCATCTGCTTCGTCAGCCTCCTCTCCCTGCAAAATCTCGTCGGATGGTCTGGTTTTCTTCGCTGTGTAAAACACTTGCCAAATCCCACCGGGGCGTGTTTACTCCTCACAGTACATGCTAATGCAGTTAATGGAAGATTTTGCAATTTCAAAATGATTTTATTCCTGAAACATTACCCTTTTCCCACTTGGTTGCTTAAACGTGTACAAGTGGCTGCGTGTGTAGACTTTGCATTCGCCGTTTGCAGTTGATCTGTGGTGTGGTCACTGAGTAAGCTGTGTGGAAGATGTGCTGGTGTTTATTTGGTAGTAGTTGTTACTACAGCTTTTCTTCAGCAAAGGCTGTGTAGCTGTTTTCTGTTGTGACGAGTCTGGTGTTGAGTCACTGGAGGTACTCAGTAAGGCATGAAATACATCTGGGGTTTTCTAGTCACAGCAAAAGAGACTTGCTGCTCCCTTAGTTGCCGCCTACCAAAAATGCAGTGGTATCGTGCTCTGTACGGGAGGAGACAGTGCGATAGTGCGAAGTAGCTCAAGAAAACATTTGGCTGAAAAACTGGGGGAGGGAGGGCTGTCAATGTGAGCTGACATGCTGTGCCTTTAATCAGTCATTGCTGTTACTGTACTGTTGGTGACAAGTTTATTCGTGGTCATTTCGAGTAAAGAAAAAAATAATTTAGATCTACATGTTCTCTTAAAAGTATGTCTGTGTGTATATAGATATGTACATAAATACACATCACTACAGCTGCACTTGTTAAAAAAACAAACAAACAAAAAGGCAGCTTTGTGACAGAGTTGCCATTGTGAAAATGGGTATTTGGTCAGGATACATTAATTGAATAAATATAGGAAAATGTTACTGCTAGAAGGCATATTCAGTGTAAGGTAGGGTGAAGTGCTCACTGAAGTTAGCTCTGTTCTCCTATAAAGTGATTCAGATCACATTTCTGAGAAAGTAATCTCAGAGCTACCTGTCTGTGATGCTGTGTCACAAGTTTTGTTTTCTTTATTAAACACTGAAGTACCTCATTGGGAGCGTACGGCCTTACCTTCGTAAGGCTTCATACGCTGGATTTGGTTTTCCCGTACCTCCAGTGGTTTTGTTCTTGTTTCTAGTTGCAAGCTTTCAAAAAAATCTAATTGGCTGTATGTCTGATGGGTTTTGTGATTATCTGAGGCTCAGCTTAAAGCAATTCAGCTTTTTCTAATAAATGCAGAAATATCCTATGGAAAAAATGACTTTATTACCAGTATCATGAGCCAATACTCCTTTAAAAAGAAAATGGTACAAAAAGCAACCCCAGATTTGCTGGGTCAGTGAAGGCTTTTGCTGGGTTCAGAGCCTCGTCTCCTGAGTGGTGATGACGTGCCTTGTCAGCATAATGCTATTTTTTATCTTCTATCATAGTATTTCCAGTTCAAATTTGCATAGAGCTGTGTTTCAACTAAATGCATGAACTGCTTTTCTTCCTCAAAACCGTGCATGAAAACAAGCACTCGGATTGGAGCTTTGGGAAACTTCTGCATACCTGCGAGTAACGGTCATGTTGCTCGCGAAGAGGAGTCGCGTGGCGAGTGCCGTGCGCGGCGAGCGCCTTCTGCTCCGGCTGCAGCGGCCGTGCCTGCGGTGGGCTGGCTGCTGGCCTCGGCGTGTGTTGGCCGCTGACCCACGCGCCTTCGGCTGGGTGAGTTTGGGGAGGAAAAGCAGATGAAAAGGCAGCGAGCGGGAAACGCTGCTCTCCGTGTCTTGAAGGAGCGAACTGAAACTGCGGGGCGTTTTGGAGCACGTTTCTGGGGTGCTGCAGCTTGGTTCGGGTGTTGGCATACGCTCTGAAGGGTGATGTGGGCGTGGGAAGGGTGAACACAGGGTACGGTTTTCTGTCTTGGTGGAAATTTGGAGCTGGCAGAGTGACGTGGAACACTTAACTGAGCTGTAAAAGAAAAAACTGAGCTGTAAAAGAAAATACTGTAATCGAGGGGAAAAAATATGAATAAGGGAAGGGCTAAGCTGCCTTCTAGCTGATGTAGAAGTTATCTGAAGGCCTTGTGTCCTGCTATGGTTAAAAAAACCACAGTTCATGCTATGTAAAGGTGGTCTCAAAATGGAGAAGTCGTGTTGGTGTGTGGCGTAACTGTCCTGAAGCTGGTTTCTGCAGGCAGCGAAGAATGAAATAGCGTCATCAAGAGTGGACATTTATGGTTACAGGTACTCAGCTGTAGCACCTACAGTGTGTTTTTTAAGGAATTCACAGGATTTTTGTGATTTTTCTAAGCTGGAGATCAGAAGGTGAGACCGAATGCCGGATCACCAGAAATGTAGGCATCTTGCAAAGCATTTGTTGTGGATCGTTGGTAAAGGAAGGACTCTTGTGTGTGTGTTTAGAATTTTTTCTGAATTTAAATGTTTATTATTGTGTCTTAAAGTAGTCTTAGTTAAAGTCAGCATGAAGCATAGAGCATCTTTTGTTCTTTGATAGAGTGAGGAACTACTGAGGTTTTCCTGAGATTTTCCTTAAAATAATGTTGGGCTGTGTATGAAACGTTTGTGCTCAAATATGCGTCGTATCTGGGGAACATACAAGCTTTAGAAGACTTTTCTTGATTTCCTTAAGTCGAAATAGACTTTAAGAATAGTTTGGGTTGGCTTTTTTCCAGTGACAATTAGCTCTGCAAATTCAATGTATAGTAAATCATTGGAACATTTGCTATAAGATGGTGGAATAAATTATTTTTTAATTAAGCAAAGTAGTTGTTTAACCAAATGCATGTGCTTATGTTTTTTCCTTGCTAGATTTGGGTATTTTAATCGAATTAGATTTTTTCAAATTCTTCTCTGGTAATGAAGGAAAGAATTTTTTTTCATCAGATAAATCACATCTTGCCATATCTTTCAGGTTTCAAAGGAAAACACACAATACAAAAGGCACGATAATAGTGGGAAGTTTAGTACTACTAGATTCCCCCGAGTTCCTCAGAGTGTCAGTTGCGTGGAAGGTGTCCCAAACACTGCATTTCCCATGCGCTGTAGGAATGGGGCCCGTTTCTGCTCCAGCTCGTAGCAGTCGGCGGCGGGGAGGCCTTAGCACAGCTCGGTCTCGTTTTCCTGTGCTGCTGCTGTCCTGGGCGCTGGGCTGTGACAGCCGCCGGCTCTGCTTGGGCACCCCCGCGCTCGGGCTGAGAGGAGGGGCGAACACGAGCTCCGTTGCTTTATCCAGTCGTAGTGAATCGCCCTTAATTTCCTGTGCTCCGCAGTTTGTGTAGCGTTCCCAAGGGCCTCTGATCTTCGCCCCCCCCTCAGCTGATTCAGACTTTATAGTGGGTCTTTGGTCTTTGAGCTTGGGACACTAAATAACTTTGGGAGTCTGTCTTCCCTGTGAACAGTTCAGCCGCTGTGAACCACAGTTGGTTTTGCTGAAGAACTTTAATTTGCTTGTGTTTGTAATTTCTGCTCACTCCTAAATCGTTCCTGGTCTTTGCAGTTTTAGAAGGATTTCAAATGCGTTGTCATACTCAAACCCAATTTCAATTAGCTGAGGAAATGAAAGCCAACAACTTCTTCATAATCTTAGTGAATAGCAGTGTTTGCCGGGATCTAAAATACCCAGACTTCAGTCCTTACTGCAGAGTTTCTGTTCTCTTAATATCTTCTTGGAATTTGATCTTCAGTCTGAAATTTCTGCGTTTATGTCTCCTTTGAGCCTGGTGCTTCATCTTTGCGCTGTGGTTGACACAGAGTACTGCTGTATGTTCTTAATGCAGTCTTCACTTAATGCTTTTTTTATTTAAGTCATAATTTTCAGAATGTGCAATTGAAAATAATGAAAGAGAAAAAACCCTGGAAAGTAACTAGGAAATACTGTTATGTGTGGCTAAATGGCGGTGCCTTGGTGTTACGTGTGGGCGGGGGGCGTCTGCTGTATTGACGTTAGCCAGCTAAACGTGAAATGCTCGCTCTGTTTGTGTGCGCAACGGAGTAGAGGAGGCAGCTTACGAAAAACGACACGTGCTTTTGTGAGCGGCCTCAAGGAGCGTCAGGGGAGGTTGAGGTTGGATGTTGGGAAAAATGTCTTCACTGACAGAGTGGGCAGGCACTGGACCAGGCTGCTCAGGGCGGTGGTGGAGTCCCCATCCCTGGGGGGGTTCAAAAACCGTGTGGATGTGGCACCTGGGGACGTGGTTTAGCAGGCGTGGGGGTGTTGGGTTGGCGGTTGGTCTGGATGGTCTGAGAGGTCTTTTCCAACCTTAATGATTCTAGGATTCATATGTCTGTATAAACCCATATATGCATATATATACACGCATGCAGTATGTATATATCTATATATGGCAGATACAGTGTTTTCCAGAGGGGTTGCCCGCAAAACTGCAGTGAATACATGCCAAGCCTCTGATGGTTTTCTGGAGGAAATGCGGCGGCGTGGG